GTGCAGTAGTCGAGGAGTCTGCAGCAGCAGAAGCCGCAGCAGCACAAAGAAACGGAGCTTCTGACTCGCAGCAGCAGCAGCAACAGCAGCAGCTGCAGCAGCAGCAGCAGCAGCAGCAGACAGAAAGAAGCAAAATGAGTTTTCTGGGAAACAATGAAAATAAAGAGACTGGAGACACAGACCTGCAATCATACATTTCCTTGCTGCGGCAAACAGGGGTAAAACAGCAGCAGCAGCGGCACGAGCAGCAGCAGCTGCACCAGCAGCAGCTGCAGCTGCAGCAGCAGCTGCAGCAGCAGCAGCAGCAGCGCGCAGTTGTCTTTGTGGTCATGTTTGTAGATCTTTTAGCACTCAGTTACAGTTAATTAGTGAAGCAATTGATGAATTAAAATTTTAAATTTGATTATTAAATAATTAAATGATTAAATAAGTTAATTAAACAAATAAATAAAATAAAAAATAATCATTTTTTTAATTCTTCCTTTTTGGATTAACTGCAGCAGCTCGTAAATAAATGCAGAAGCAAAGTTGTCTTTTTGCTGCTAATTTGTGCTGCAGTCTGCAGCAGCAGCAGCACAGGGAGAGTACGAAGTTCCTGCTGCTGCTGCACCAGCAGCAGCAGCAGCAGCAGCAGCAGCAGGCAGCAGGGGGGTCCCCCCGGATGACCCGCATTCTTTGCTGCTGTTGTGGCAGCAGAAAGAAACAATGGAGCTGATGCTGGAGGCCCACAAACAGCATGAGGTGAAGAACCACAATTTAGGGTTTAGGGTTTAGGGTTTAGGGTTTGGGTGCAATACGGGTGCCTAGGGTTTTGGGGAGAGACGAAAGGGTTTAGGGTTTAGGCTTCAAAGCTTCGCTCACGCTTCACAAGTAAACCAGAGAGCTCAGAGTTTAGGGTTTAGGGTTTAGGGTTTAGGGTTTAGGGTCTAGGGTTTAGGGTTTGCAGCCTCCGCCCCCGCCTCCGCCATTAGTGCCGATGCGTTTCGGAAGATCTCCAAAGACGAGATGCAACTCCAGTCCGATAACTCTTTTTTATTTTTTATTTTAATTTCATTTTATTTTTGTTTTAATTTAATTTAGTTTTATTTTATTTTTGTTTTTATTTTCTTCTTACTTTTGTCTTCGGTTTACTTTTGTTTTCTTTTTACTTTTCATTTTCTTTTCATGTTTTTATTTTATCTTTAATTTTATTTTCTTTTATTTTCTACTTTTTATTTTTAATTTCTTTCTGTTTTCTCTGTTTTATTTCTTTATGATTTTTTGTTTCTTTTCACTTCTTTTTGTTTCTTTTATTTCTTTTCATTTTTTTATTCCTTTTTCGTCTCCTTTGTTCTTTTTTTGTTTTTTATTTTATCTCTTTTTTTTCTGTTTATTTCTTTTTGTTTATTTATTATTTTGCTTTCAATCCTTTCTTTTTAATTTCTTTTTTTTTCCTTTTGTCATATCTTTTTAATATCGTTTTAATTTCTTTTTAATTTCATTTCATTTTCAATTTAATTTCCTTTTGATTGATTCCTTTTTATTCCTTTTTATTTCTAATTTTTAATTTTAATTTTAGTTTTAATTTTTTTTTATTTTTTAATTTCAGGTGAAGAGTGCGAAGCAGCTCGTCGACTTTTTCGTTTAAAAGAAAAACTTTTAATTGAAAAATTTAATATTCCAATTACTGTGTAAGTCCTTTTTTGTTTTATCTTACTATTTTTATTTATTTTTATTTGTTTTTAATTTACTCCTAATTTGTTTTCATTTGTTTTTATTTGTTTTTATTTGTTTAATTTGTTGTTATTTATTTTTATTTGCTTTTATTTGTTTATATTTGCTTTTGTTTTATTTGTTTTGTTTCTATTTTCGTAATTCCTTTTTATTTGTTTTTATTTGTTTTTATTTGCCTTTTTTTCTGTTGTATTGTCTCTTGGATTGTCTCTTTAATTGTCTTTTTAATTGTCTCTTCAATTGTTTTTTATTTATCTCTTTTTGTCCTTTTATTATTTCTTTTTGCCATTTTAATTATTACTTTAATTACTTTTTTGTCCTTTTAACTCTGTCCTTTTTAATTCTATCTTTATTTATTTATTTATTTTTATTTGTTTCACTGATTACTTTTCACTTTTTTCCCTTTATTGTTTCGTTTATTTGTTTTATTACTGGTTAATTAATTAATTAATTAATTAATTAATTAATTAATTAATTAATTATATTTATTTATTTGCCTATTTATTTATTTCTTTCTTTATTTATTTATTTAATTTAGGGAGACACTGCGTTGTTTGGAGACTCCGAATTGGCTGAACGACGAAGTCATCAACTTCTACCTCCATCTCCTTAGAGTATACTGCTGCTGCTGCTGCTGCTGTTGCTGCTGCTGTTGCTGCTGTTGTTGCTGCTGCTGCTGCTGTTGCTGCTGCTGCTGCTGTTGCTGCTGCTGCTGCTGCTTCTGATAGTATTGGTGCTGCTGCTGCTGCTAGTATTGCTGCTGCTGCTGCTGCTGGTATTGCTGTTGCTGTTGCTGCCAGCAATGCTCCTGCTGGTATTGTTGCTGCTGGTATTGCTGCTGCTGAGGGTGTTGCTGCTGCTGATGGTACTGCTGCTGCTGCTGGTATTGGTGCTGCTGCTGCTGCCGGTATTGCTGCTGCTGTTGCTGTTGCTGCTGGTGATGCAGCAGCAGCTGTTGTTATTGTTTCTGCTGTTTCTAATCCTTTTGCTGCTGCTGCTGCACTCGTTGCTTGTTTCACGAGTATTGCTGCTGCTGTTGGTGTTGCTGTTCTTTCTGCTGCTGCTGTCGCTGCTGCTGCTCCTCTCGCTGGCACTGCCGCTGCTGCCACTGCTGGTTGCTGCTGCTGTTGCTGCTGCTGCTGCTGCTGCGTCTTTATTGCTTCTAGGTGCACATATTTTCGCCTTTGAACATTTATTGATTTATACATTTATTATTCAATATTATTATTATTATTATTCTTCACATTTTAATTTTTTTTTGATTTAATTTTTCATTTTGTTTTTGATTTTATTTTTTATTTCAGGAAAGAAACGCAAAGCAAATCGAACAGGGCGAAGAGTAAGCAGCAAAACTTTAATTGAAATTATTTTATTTATTTATTTGTTTATTTATTTATTTATTTGATTTATCTATTTACCTCTTTATTTATTTATTTATGTATTTAAATGCTTGTTTAACCTATTCAATTATTTAATTTATATAATTTACATTATTCATATATTATCTATTACTTATTTGTTTATTTATTCATTTGTTTATTTATGTGCTTATTTAATTCATTTAACTTATATAATTTATATTGTTCATAAAATTTATATCATTTATTTATTTATTTATTTAATTTGTTCCACTCATTATTTATTTATTTATACTTCTTTTTTATTTGTCTCCTTGTAATTAAACTTGTTTCCATTTTATTCAAGTTGTTTTCATTTCATTTAGAAACTTTTATATTTTATTTAAATGATTTTATTTAATTTAAATTTCCTGTTTTTTCATTTCAATGATCTTTATTTAATTAAAACTCCTTTATCTAAAATAAATCAATTTAACTTAATTTAATTTAATTCAATTCTTTTTAATATGAATTATCTTTTTTGTTTTTGTTCTTTTAATTCATTTCCAAATTCTTTAATATAAAGTGTCTCCTTTTCGTTTAAATTGTCTCTCTTATTATTTAAATAATCTTTTTAAACAAAACTAAATAAACAAACAAACAAATAAGTAAACAAACAAGCAAACAAATAAATGAATAAATAAATAAATAAATAATATCTTTTATTTAATTATCTTTTCAGGGTTTGTTCTTGTTATTTCTTTTCGACTTTTTTTTATACAAAACTTTGCGGAGGCGAAGACGCAAAAAACTCCTACAGCTTTGAAGGAGTTCGAGTGAGAATTAATTTTATTTATTTATTTATTTATTTATCTATTTATTTATTTATTTGTTTGTTTGTTTGTTTGTTTATTATTTGCTCATTTGTCTGTTTGTTTATTTGCGTATTTGCTATTTAATTATCTATTTATTGAGCTATTTAATTGTTCATTTATTTCTATTTTTCTTTTTTGTTATTTCGTTGTCTGTTCATTTATTTGCTTTTTTGTTTATTATTTATAATTTATTTAGTATTTGATATTTTGTTTATTTATTTTTAATTGCCATTTATTTATTTATTCATTTTTGTTTGTTCCTTTTATCTGCTATCTGGTTATTAATTATTATTATTATATATGAATTCTATGGTTTGATGAATTAATTGATTAATTCATTAAGAACTAGTAAATTAAAAAATAATTAATTAATCAATTAATCCATTTATTATCTCATTATTTATTATTTATATTATTTATTTGTTTATTATTTATGTATATATATATTTATTTATTTATTTATTTATTAGAGATGGACAAAACGACAAAAAGTGGATATTTTTTCTTTCGATTTAATTTTCTTTCCTCTTCACCTCGGGAGACTTCACTGGGCCCTCGGAGTTGTTGATATGAGGTAATTATTTATTTATTTATTTCATTTATTATTTGTGTATTTATTTATTTCTTTTAATTACTCATTTGATTTAGTTTGATTTAATTTAATTAATTAGCTCATTTATTTGTTTATTATTTTATTTATTTATTTGGGTTTTTTAATTTCCAACTTTCATCATTTTTTACGGTCTCTGGGCGTTTTTGATTATTTCTCTCTGCATTTATTTAATTCTTAATTATTTATTTTATTTATTTATTTATTTGTTTGTTTGTTTGTTTATTTATAATTATTTATTTATTTATTTATTTATATTTATTTATTTATTTTTGTTTTCAGAAAAGGAAAAGAAAGTATTCGTTTTTTTGACTCTTTGGGCGGCCGCCACAAACCCTTGGCGTGGAGACTTCGAAAATATTTGGAAGATGAACACAAAGACAAAAAGGGTACACAAACCCTAGGGTTTAGGGTTTAGGGTTTAGGGTTTAGGGTTTATAGGGTTCAGGGTGTAAAGGCTTTAGGGCTGATAGGGTTTAGCGTTTAAAGGGCTTTTTGGCGATATTTGCAAGATGAACACAAAGACAAAAAAGGTACACAAACGCTAGGGTTTAGGGTTTAGGGTTTAGGGTTTATGGGGTTTAGAGGGTTCAGGGTTTAAAGGGTTTAATGGTGATATGTGGATGATGAGCACAAAGACACAAAGGTGGACAAACTCTGGGGTTTAGGGTTTAGGGTTTGGGGTTAAGGTTTAGCGTTTAGGGTTTAGGGTTCAAAGAGTCTAAAGGGTTTAGGGATTAGAGCTTAGGGTTTAGGGTTTAGGGTTTAGGGTTTAAAGGGTTTAAAGAGTTTTAATGCTTTAGGGTTTAGGGTTTAGGGTTTATAGGGTTTAGCTTAAGGGTCCAGTGTTTAGGCTTTCATTTATTTATTTTTATTTATTTATTTATTTGTTTATTTTTATTATTTGTTCTTATTAGCGTATTTATTCTTATTTATTCATTTTATTTATTTATTTATTTATATTTATTTATTTATTTTTATTTAGGAGTTCCCCTCGATGAAGGAAGACAGTGGTATGCTGACCCAAACGGAGAGTCTGAAGTAAGAAGTTCATTCAATTAATTTAATATAATTTAATTTAATTTATTTAATTGATATGATTAACTAATATAATTAATCAATTAATCAATTAAATTTAGTTAATTGATTGAATTCAATTAATTAATTCATTTAATTAGATTGAATTAATGCTTCGTTGATTAATTTAGTTAAATTAAATAATTAATTAAATTAAATGAAATAATTAGTGAAGCATTTGTTGAACAAAATAGACTTTGAAGTATTTTTTGAAATAGAAGGACTTTTTGAATTCTTTTTTCGAATTCTTTTCAATTAAAGTGAATTAATTGGACAAACAATTAAATAAAATGAATTAATTGGAGGATTTGTTGGGAAGAAAAGACTAAAAGTGCAAAAATAAAATCAATTTTCTTTTTTTTAGAATGAAACTCCTCAACAATCCAACGGATTTGACTGCGGAGTTTTTCTTTGCCAAATGGCCGAATGCATTTCCGACGGAAGGGCTTTTGACTTTTCCCAAAAAGAAATCAAACAAATCCGACTCAAAATGGTATTTTTGGATCCAATTTTTCATTTTAAATTGCATTTCATGATTTTAATTCAACTCAAAATGCTATTTTCAATCAAATTCGACTTAAAATGGCATATTTCGTTTCAAGTTTGACTTTAAATGGTATTTTTATCATTTAGACTTAACTTACCGTGGTATTTTCAAACAACTTCGACCCAAAATGGTATTTTTAATCCAATTTTTCATTTTAAATTGCATTTTGTCATTTTAATTCAGTTTAAATAACGATTTTCGACGAATTCGACTAAAAGTGGTATATTGTATTTCAAATTTGACTTTAAAATGATATTTATATTTTTGTATTTTCAATTAATTGAGAATGGCATTTTATATTTTTAATTGACTTAAATGGTATTATTAATTTTAAATTTAGAAGAAAAAAACAAATTCGGCTTCAAATGGTATTTTTTTATTTCAGTTGTTTTCTGGTTTTTTATATTTTCTATTTGATTTAAAATGGCACTTTAATAATTTATTTTTAATTATTTAATGAACTATTTTGGGTTAACAAATATAAAGAAACAAGGATAAATAAATAAAAATAAATTAATAAAAGTAGAAAAATAAAAAAATAAATTACAAAACAATTGTTCTTATTTGCTGCTGCTGCAGGCCCTGGACATCACCCGCGGCAAAATCGACTACTGAACAGCAGCAGCAGCAGCAGCAGCAGCTGTTGCTGCTGCAGCAGCAGCTGTTGCTGCAGCAACCGCTGCTGCTGCTGCACTCGCTTCTGGTGCAGCACCTGACGCAGCAGCAACAACTGCTGTTGCTGCTGTAACGGCTGGTGCTGCAGCAAAAACTGCTGCAGCAGCAACCGATACTGCAGCAGCAGGAACCGATACTGCTGCAGCAGCAACTAATGTTGCTGCAACAACTGATCCTGCTGCAGCAACTGATACTGCTGCAGCAGCTGATACTGCTGCAGCAATCGCTGCTGCCGCAGCAGCTCGCGCTCCTGCAGCAACTGCAGGATTTGATCAAGCAACTGGTGCTGCTGCAGCACCTGATGCTGCTGCGGCAAGTGATGTTGCTGCAGCAACTGGTGTTGCTGCAGCACCTGATGCTCCTGCAGCAACAGGTGCTGCTGCAGCAACTGGGGCTGCTGCAGCACCTGATGCTGCTGCAGCAACTGGGGCTGCTGCAGCAGCAGATGCTGCCGCAGCAACTGATGCTGCTGCTGCAGCTGCTGCATTGTGGGAGTTGATTTGGCAAGGGTTTCTGCTGCAGCAAATCTGCATCTGCTGTCATAGTTTAATAATTTCCTAATTCTGAAAAAGGAATTGTCTTTGAGCTCAATTTGGCTGAGGGTTTAGGGTTTAGGGTTTAGGGTTTGCTGCTGCTGCTGTGGCTAGCTGCAGCTCAGCTAGCTGGATAGCCTTGGCTAGCTAGCTAGCTAGCTAGCTAGCCTGAGCTAGCTAGCTACCTACAGCTAGCTAAGCCTTGTCCCAGCTAGCCAGTCATCCAAGCTAGCTGCAGCTAGCCAAGGCAGCTAGCTGCAGCTAGCCGGGGCAGCTAGCTACAGCTAGCCACGGCAGCTAGCTGCAGCTAGCCAAGTCAGCTAGCTGCAGCTAGCCAGAGCAGCTAGCTGCAGCTAGCTACAGCTAGCCGCGGCAGCTAGCCACAGCTAGCCAATGCAGCTAGCTGCAGCTAGCCAGAGCAGCTAGCTACAGTTAGCCAAGGCAGCTAGCTGCAGCTAGCCAGAGCAGCTGGCTGCAACTCGGGAAGCAGCTAGCTAGAGCTAGCCGTTTAGCCTGAGGGATCTGGAAAGTCTCTCAGTTTAGGGTGTTGTTATTGTCAGAGGAAATATAAAATGAAAAAGAAAGAAAATAAGTCTTTTGAGCGGGTGCTCGTCTGGCTTTCTGCGGGGTGTACATACACCTGGGTGCTGGCCGCATGCATGCTCGTTCAGCTTCTTGGATTCGCAGCAAACGCCAAATTTGAATTATTTTCGAAATTGAATTCATTCAATTCATTTAATTCATTTAAATTACTTTTTGTTTCCTCCTATTGCTCCTTTTTTGCGGAAGCAGCGCCGAAGGTGAAAAGCCAGAAGTTGAGTTCCCGTCGGCGCTGCTTTCGGCAGCCTCCCGCTGCTCCGTCTCAGGATTTTGGGGGAAATTAGTTCAAATTTGGGAACTAATTTGGCTAATTAATGCAATTAAGGAGTTCGTTTTGCAATTTGAACCAATTTAGTAATTTTTATCGCTAAAAATGACCCAAATGGGACCAATTCTTGCATGCCGCAGACACCCGACCGGTCTGGTCCTGTGTACATATACCGCAGCCGGGTACACTGTAGATACACCCGGAGAGCGGATTCTTTTCTCTAAATTCCTTCAACAAGAATTATAAATGACCAAATTATGTTTTTAAAAAACTGCGCAATCGAAAAAGAGCTCCAAAAAGATCTGAATCTTGAGACTCGTTGAGGTGTCTGTACACTCCAGGTCCGCCGGGGCTGCGGATTCAAACCGCCGGTTCTTTCATCTTAAATCTGCAAATGAAGATTAATTGGACTCAATTTAATAAAATAGAACTTAATAAATCTTCTAAACACTGATTTGCTGCTGCTTCCGCAACGCCTGAAGCCCCCGCTGCATGCAGCCGCTTTGCTCCATTCCAAAAGTTGAGTTGCACACTTTGCTGCTTCTTCGAATCTTTCCAATATTTCCACTTTTCTGAAGGGCCCAAGCAGCAGCAACAACAGCAGCAACAGCAGCAACAGCAGCAACAGCAGCAACAGCAGCAGCGGCAGGAAGGCGGCTCCGGAGCGGCCGCAGAGTTTCCTCGCCGCTGCGCTGCTCCTCTGCCATAGCAGCAGCAGCAGCAGCAGCAGCTGCTGCTGCTGCTGCTGCATGCAAAATGGCAGCAAGAACACCATCGAATGCAAGTCCTTTTTCTCCAGAACTTCAAACTTTTGTTGTCACCAAATATGACCCTTTGCTGGCAATTGTGAGGGAACTTAACACGAGGCTGCAGGCTTCTGAAAAAGGTATTTTTTATTTTTATTTCTTTTTCACTTTAACTTAATTGTCTTTTGCTGCTGCTCCTGCTGCTGCTGCTGCTGCTGCTCTTGTCTTGCTCATCGTTTGAGTCCTCGTAGCGAAACAGCAGCAACAGCAGCAACAACCGCAGCAGCAGCAACAGCAGCACCAGCAGCAGCAACAGCAACAGCAGCAACAGCAGCCGCAGCAGCAACAGCAGCAGCAGCAACAGGCGCAGCAGCAGCAGCAACAGCAGCAGCAGCTGCTGCTTCTGGGTTTCCTTTTGTTTTGCAGAGCGAATGCGTCTGGAGAGAAGAGTGCAGCGGCTGGAGCAGCAAGTGATTTCTTTAGCAGCAGCAGCAGAATCGGGAACTCCATTTAAAGCAGCAGCAGCAGCAGCAGATCTCGACGCAGACGCCCCCGCAGGCAGGCATGGTGAGCCACAGAAGCAAACAGCTGCTGCTGCTGCTGCTGTTGCTGCTGCTGCTGGTGCTGCTGCTGGTGCTGCTTTTGAAACGAAGTAAAAATGGAAATCCGAAGAGTGCACCTAAGGAGAAAGGGCGAACGAATTCAATCTGAAGTAAATAATGATTTAAAAATAACAAATAATGAATTTAATGAATTATTAAATCAAATTAATAAGTTAATTCAATTAAAACAAAAATACTTTGTTTCACTTGCTGCAGCTGTGCAAGAACTGCTGGAGGGGGAGGAGGCGCTGGCGGCCCCGTGGCTGTTCTCGTGTCAGGTGAGGAAGCTGGCAGAAACGGCGGAAAAAAGCGGAAAAAAGTGGAAATAAAAGCAAAATAATAAAATATTTGCAAAAAAGAACGAAAAGGGAACTTAAAATTCGAAAAAAGCTCCAAAAAAAACCCAAAATGAACGAAATTCAACTTTCCAAACTTGAACGACGCCGCCGCTCGGGTGTATGTACAGATCGGAACCCCCACTTCTGCGCTCCAAGTTCTTCTCGAGTTCTCTCCAGATTCAACTTTGGAAATCGATTGCAAAATGTGGAAAAGAGAGGTCTGCTGCTGCTGCTGCTGCTGCTGCTGCTGCTGCTGCTGCTGTTGGTGCTGCTGCTGCTGCTGCTGTTGCTGCTGCTGCTGCTGCTGCTGGTGTGCTGCTGGTGCTGCTGCTGGTGCTGCTGCTGGTGCTGCTGCTGCTGGTGTGCTGCTGCTGCGTTTCTGCTGCTGCTGTGGTGCTGCGGTGCTACTGCTGTGGTCCTGCTCTGCTCTGGTGTGTGCTGCTTCTGCTGCTGCTGCTGTTGCTGTTGTGCTGTTGTTGGCTGTTGCTGTTGTGCGGCTGTTTCTGTTTTTGCTCTTGTGCTGCTGCTGCTGCTGCTTCATTGTTAAGGCGAAGAGATTAGGTTTTCGGGTTTTAATTCATCTTTTGCTGCTGCAGGGGAAGGAAAAATTTGAAATAGTTTTAATTTATTAATGTTATTACTAATAGTAATAATAGTAATAACATTATTATTATCATTATTATCATTATTATGTACTATTATTATTATTATTATTATTATTATTATTATTATTATTATTATTATTATTAACTTTTATTTCTATTTTTGTTATTGTTTCAAAAATTTTTAACTTGTAAATTAAAAAACGGAATATTCTTCTCTTTTACGTTTTGACTTTGTTACTTAGTTGGTTTTTATTACATTTTGTTTTAAATGCATCTAAATTCAATTTAATTTAATTCAATTCAATTTAATTCAATTTAATTCAGTGTAATATGGTACAATATTATTTATTTTATTTTATTTTTACTTTATTTTATTTTTATTTATTTGTTTTTTTGCAATTAGGAAGATCTTTGGATTTCTCTTTTGGAAGAACTCCCTGACGGTTCGCTTGCACTTAACAAAAGAAATTATTTTTATTTTTATTTTTATTTAATTTATTTTTAATTTATTTTTAATTTAGTTTTAATTTAGTTTTTATCCTTTTATTTCCTTTTGATTCTCTTTTATTTCTTTTTACGTGCTTTTTGTTCTTGTTAGGAACTTGTCATTTTTTCTTAATTTTCTTTGATTTTTGACTTCCTTTTTAAACCTTTTTATTTCTACTTATTCTATTTTGTTCCTTTATTTTTAATAATTTAATTTAATTTATATTAGTTCAATTTAGTTTAATTAATTAATTAAATTAATTCAATTTAATTTTATTTAATTTAATTTACATTAATTTATTTATTTAATTTCTTTTTTTTATTTCTAGAATTTGCCTTTCGTCGCCCGGACTCGCTGCAGCTGCTGGATTTGCGGAGGGCTGGTGAGTTTTTAATTCTTATTTTAATTTAAATTAATTAAATTAGCTAAATTTTTTACTTTAATTTAATTAATTTTTTTTAATTAATTTTTTTAATTAAATTGATTTAAATTATATAAGTCAAATAAATTAAATTAATAATTTAATTAGTTTAATTTTTCTATTATTATATGAAGCATATTTCAATTTTTTAAAATTTAATTTCTCCTCTTTTTAGTTTTTTTTCTTTTTTAATCCAAGATCTTTTGTTGAAAATAATTTACTTTCAATTTTAATTTCTCTTCTTTTTATTTCCTTAAATCCATTTCCTTGCAAAAGGACTTCCTTTGAATTTCATTTATTTTCTTTTCCCATGTCTTTCTAAAAGTCATTTCTTTGAATTTATTTCTTTTTAAATTTTCTTGAAATCCTTTTGAGTCTTTTTTGCAAAATGAAAATAAATTGTGAACGGCAAAAAGCCACTTCTAAAATGCTTTTGAGTGCACTTTGATTAATTATTTATTTCCCTTTTTGAGTTGTTTAATTTATTTATTTCTCCTGCATTTATTCTTTTGTTTCATGAACACAACAGAGTTCTTTTGCATGCGTTGCGCCCGGTGGTGTACTTACACCGCAGAAGTCCGCAGAAAAGATCCAATTTAAAACACAATAAACAGCAACGAATCGGAAATAAATAAATCCAAATAGTAAAACTAACTCAAAGAGAAAAGAAAAGAGGATAAAAGAAAGGGAAAAGAAGGATAAAGGAGAAGAAATGAGCTGCTGCGCGCTGCGGCTGCTGGGGTGTACGTACACCTGCGCGCTGCTGCTGCTGAGGTGTACGTACACCTGCGCGCTGCTGCTGCTGGGGTGTACGTACAGCTCGCAGGGCTCTTCTGGAATTCTGCAGAGGAGAAGTTCTCATTCTTTTGCGAAGTGTTCCGGGAAGAAGAGAAGCTCCAAATAATCCCACTGCAATTACTTTAGTTGGTGGGAAATAAAACAATAAATAAACAAAATAATAAAGTAAATTAAATGAATAAATTAATTAAGTAAATTAAATAAATAAATTAATTAAATACATTAAATTGAAATAGATAAAAAGAAAAAAGAAATATTCAATTTCGACGCTTCTTCCAGTTTCCGCAACTCTGTTCTGAATGCTTTTTTGAATCTTTTTGTTCTTTATGTTTTCCCCCTTTTTAATTTATTTTTTGTTTTAAATTATTTTTGGGCTTTTTATTTTTAAATTATATATTTTATTTTTCTAAAATACTTTTTCTTTTAAACGAATTTTTGAATTTAGTTGTTGCTTTTAATGCCACTTAATGTTCATTCGTTTCTTTTAAATTCTGTCTTTTCCGTTTTTTCTTTTTCTACTCTTTCTCTTTTGCATTTTAAAATTAAATAAACGCAATTAAAACTTTAAAAGGTTTTTAAAGTTTTTATTTTTAAAATTCTTTTTTTGAATTTTCAAAAAATGTCTCAAAATGGACTTTTGCTCTCCGGGGTAATTCCACAGAAAGTCTTTTCATTTTGAATTTCTCTTTGCCACTTTATTTAAAATAAAATAAAAAATAAAAAATATAAAGAAATACTAAATATAAATAAATAAATACAAATAAATAATAAATATAAATAAATAATGAATACAAATAAATAATAAATATAAGTAAATAGTGAGTATGAATAAAATAGAAATATATATGGATAATATAATTGGAAAAGAAAGATAAATCGTAATTGTTTATTTCTTTTTGAAGAATAAAAATAAGAAAAGGAAAAAGAAAATAAAACAAATTAAATACTTCAAAAATTGGTAAGTTATAATTATTTCGAAATCGGAGTTTGCTGCTTTTGCTGCTGCTGCTGCTTTTGCTGCTGCTCGCAGCCATTCTTGCTGCAGCTCTTTCGGAAGCCTGGAGCGTAAGTAGCAGCAGCAGCAGCAGTAGCAGCAGCAGCAGTAGCAGCAGCAGCAGCAGCAGGGGTTGTAGCAGCAGCAGCAGCAGAAACAGTAGCAGCAGCAGCAGCAGCAGCAGCAGCAGCAAATGAGCAAATAAGTTTATAGATTGTGTCTCCTCTGCTGCTGCTGCATTTGTCCTTCGTGCCTCTCCTCGGCTATTTACTTTTATATTTATTTACATTTATTTATTTATTTATTTTATTTACATCTATTTATTTATGATTTATTTTATTCATTTTACTTGTTTCATTTATTTATTTAATTTGTTTTGCGTTTATTTGTATAATTAATTATTTAATTGATTAATTCCACTTTTTGGTTCTCTCCGTCCTGTGGGACTTCTTGATTTCTTTTTCTTCTTTTTCCCGCTTTCTTTCCTACTGCCAAATGAAGTAAATAAGTAAATAAATAAATAAATTAATAAATTGAATTAAATTAAATTTAATTAATTAATTTAAATTAAATGAAGTAAATTAAATTAAATTAGTTTCATTATTTGTTTTTGCTGCTGCAGCGCGTGGAGGCGGGGGAGCCAGAGGCGTTGGGTCGGGTGGCTCTGGTGCTGGACGGTGGGTCGGGGTGGAGTTTGAAGTGGAAAATGAAAAATGAAAAGAAATTAAATAAAATAAATAAAATAAATAAAATAAATAAATAAATGAATAAAAAGGAACAAATGGAGCCAAAAAATGGACAAATCCGCGAAGAACGGGGAAGAGAGCCGGGCGGTGGCCGGGGAGCTCTTGCTGTTGGTTCCTTCTCGTTTTTCCGCGTTTTTGGTTCTTTTCTCCCAATTTTTTCGAATTAATTCAAAGCAATTAAAATTAATTTAAATTAATTTAAATTAATTTAAAGTATTTCGAATTAATTTGCGTTTCCTGCGCGTTCTGGCGCACTTGGCGCAGGCAACGACATCGGCTCGCGGCTGCGCGCCGGGCGCAAGCGCTTCCGCATCGAGCCTCTCAACTAGTGACCAGTGGACCACTGAGTGGTCCACTGGTCCATTTGGCGAAAAAAGAAGAAAAATGAAACAAAAAAGACAAATCTTTCTTCTAATGGACCTTTTTAACCTCCAGTTCGTCCCTTTTCCGCTGGAGTGCCGACGCGCAGCTCCAACGAGCCCTCTTGACCGCAGCTAGGGTTTAGGGTTTAGGGTTTAGGGTTTGGCTCGGGTGTACAGACAGCGGGCCACTTGTAGCCAGAAAGTCCGCCTTTTTTAAATGCAAAATGCAGAAATAAATAAACTGAAGATAAGAAGTGGAGATATATCAAATTAAATCCATTTAGACTGCTAAATGAAACAGCAGCAGCAGCAGCAGCAGCAGCAAATATTAGGAGAGGCAGCAGCAAAAGACCGTGACAAAGTTTGAAAGGAAAAGTTGCAAGCTGAAAAGCGGCGAATAAGGCCGAGACAGAAAAACCAGAACAGTTCTCTCAAGTGCTGCTGCTGCTGCAGCTGCTGCTGCATCATCAAGCAGTGCTGCTGGTGCTGCTGCAGCTGCAGCAGCAGCAGCA